AGCCCCCATGCGAGCTGTGCGAGTTGGGCAGGGGTCGGTCGCGCGGGTCCATCTCCCGCATCTCCCTGTGATTGCGGGGGTCACGGCTATCGCGCATGTCGCTTGGGCGGTCGTACCGCTCCAACCTGTCGCGGGGATCACGGGGGTCACGAGCGTCCCGGGCATCGCGGGGATCACGGTCCAGACGGGGTTCCGGCCGGTCCATACGGGGATCGCGCTCGTAGCCCCTCTCGAACCGCTCGCGATCGAAGCGGTCGCGCTCGTACCGCTCTCCACGCTCGCGGTCACTGGCGCGCAGATCGCTGAGCCTCTCCTCTGGCCTACTCCTCACATCGCTCACGCCGCGAATGTCCCCGCCGACAATCTCATCATCGCTCTCGCGGTCGCGGAACTCGAGCAGCGCCTCGCTGCTGAGCGCCTGGTTCGGCTGGGAGTACCGCCTAGCACGTTCCAGCTTGGCAAATCGGAAGTCGCGGAAGTCGTACTCGGCCTCGTCTTGCCCGACGGGCTGGTACTCGGTGCTGAACGTCTCGAGGTCGTACGGCTCGAGCAGCGGGAGCCAGTCGCACCTCAGCAGACGGTGCACGGCCTCGATGTGCATCGTCTTCATCATTGCGGAGCGGCGGCCGAGGTCCCTGATCACGCGGAGCAGGGGCGGAATGCATCGCGCAAACTCGGGTGACTTTGGGTCGATTCCGGCATCATGCGACGCGAGACGTCGTGGTTCGAACAGGATAACTGGGGTCAGCTCGGTCCGTGATAGCGAAAGCTTACTTTCTAACGTGACATAGGCGTGCACACCCGCGTGCGTGTCGAACACCGGGTCGTACTTGAGAGCCTCGTCCAAGATCGCAGCAACAGGCAGCGCATGCTGGATACGCTGGTATCGCGCCTGCTTGTCGAGATCCTTGTACCGCAGGCGGTCCATCTCGTGCAGGAGCAGCTTGGCGCGGCCGAGGATGACATACAAGTTATGCCGGAGCAGGTGCAGGATGACGTACGCCGGCAACCGCTTGCGGTGCATGTACATGTTGTCTTCGGAGTAGATGTAGCGCTCGGGCAGCGAATCGATGAAGGCGGCTACCTCGTCGCCGGCCGCGTCAATGTCGGCCTGCAGCACGTGTACCGGGTCCTCCTTCTGAGATACGCGATAGGCGCAGTGCAGCGCGCGGCGACGCAGTACCGACGCCTTGAGCACGAACGCCGAGATGCCAAGCGAGTGCGGGTTGCGCGCCGATGGCGCCGGCCACAGCGGTTCGGTGCGCAGATTCTCGTTGGCGAGGAAGGCGTCCTCGTGACACGGGAGCTGGATCCGGAACGACGTAATGTCCGTCAGGTGGTCGCCGAAACGCCCGCCGTCGATCACTGCGTCAAGGTAGAACACGGCCCATGCGACACGCCGCAGCGCTTCACACGACAGCAGTGGCGACAATGGTGTTTCCTCCACACCAGCCTGCAGCGTCTGGTCAAACTTCTGCAGCGACATCATCTGCATCATCCTGTCGTCAGTTGATCGCGTCGAACCTGCAACTCACCTCACGGACAACGCAATGATGAGCCACGACGACGTAAAGTTGTTCCGCTGTGTCTCACAGTGCGCCGTCAGGATCAGCGCCATGAGCTGAATCACACCGAACCCCTGCATAACGCGAGGTACGAGGCTTCCGACGATACCGTCGATGAGCGAGTCCGACTTGGCGAGGTTTGCCGGGGTCGGGTCGCACCCGAACCGGAGCACGTTCGCGACCATGGCCATGGTGAGCTCCTTCGGCGCCTTCCCCTTAGACAGGAGCTTCTTGAAGCGCAGCGGGTGCACAAATGTGAGGAACCCGAAGTCTGCTTGTCAGCTGGGGAAGCGCCATGTGAAGCTTACGGTGCACGGTGTCAAAGTACCGGTCGATCAGCATCTCGGTATCGGCGAGCGCGGTGCTAAGCTTTGCCGGGACAGAGCTGGCGCCGCTGGTGTGCGAGTGCGCGGAGCTCGGGCGCTTCGCGGGCGGGTGCGGATCCTCCTCTGCCCACTCGCACTTGATAGATTGCTGCTGGCAGCGCACGCACGACCCTTGCCTTCGGTCACCCTCGCATCGGAGCTGCCGTCAGTATTCTCTTCTAGCGGAAAAGGTCGCGATCGCCGACTCTTCTGTCACAACCTGAGTCACAATCGCGAGCGCCGATGAAGGGGGTGATCGTGTGCAACGAGGCCGCGGGGGTCTCGAAGACAACAATGTGCGACAAGTGGGCAGACAGTGTGGGCAGTGGGCTAATGAGACAGACCCAGCCTCGCCAGCCAACCATCACTGCAGGATGCCGCGGTAACAGGCAAATTGTGTGAGGTGACGCGAGTCCGAAGTCTCAGAAGGCAAGATCGACGCGGAATGCGAGTCTCGCCATTGAGGCCTTTTCGCTGTCCTGCCCGCTTCCAGCCTGCAGCCTGTCGAACACACCTTCTCCCCTCGTTGTCCCCTCGCTCGCACGGACCGAGGAGTAGCCACGCCATCGGACGTGCCAGCCGTCTCGCTGGGGGAGTTCCCGGGGGCTGCCGGGGGCCACAAATGTCCCCGCCTTCGACGTTCGCTTTGGAGATAAAATGTCCAGCCGTCGCTAGGGTCGGGGAGAAGAGAGGAGAGCATGAGGACCACTTGTCCATCTTTGGTCATGCACGACGTCGTTCGAGGCGATCTGGGAAAGAGAAGAGCAACTCACCTTCCTCGCACGACAGGCCTCGCACGCCGTCGCGTTCGGCCGACGGGGAAGCCGCGGCGCGGCTGTCGCGCGCAGGTCTTGCCAGTGACACTCGCGCTCCAGGCGGCGGCACGCCTTGCACACCGGCTTGGACTCGTCGCACTTGACCTGGTCGTTAGCTCTGTGCGGAGAAGCCGGTCAGCTAGTTGGAGGATACGTCGCCGGTGCTCGATACGGTCTGGCTCAATCCTGAGGCGACTTCCTAACGTCGGCGGACTTTGCTAGATCTCGATGCAGAAGGATCACGATCGGATAGGTGATGATTCGATGGCCGAAGAGGGAACGCGGTCCAATCGAGAGGGAGGGAAGGAAGACTCACCCTTCTCTGTCTGCACGTCAGGCATCCGAGCCTCGTCCGCCGAACGGGCGTATGTCCCGGCGGCTTGCCATTACTTGGGCTATTGCTCGCTCCGCTGGCACCGCTCGCAGCGCTAGTTGGCGGCGCCGGGCCTTGCGGGCCTGTCGGAGGGGGCGGCGCAGTCAGAGCCGAGATGGGAGCAAGCGGGTGTTGCGGGTGCTGCTGAAGCGGCGGCAACTGCGATGGCGGCGGGGTAACGGCGGCGGAGGGTCGGGCATGGTTGTGGTCGGATGAGAGGTTCACGTCGACATTCGCGCTCGCGGTGTGGGCTGGCTGTCGGTTGTGTTTTGCTTGGTTCTGTGACTCGCTTTGGTGATGGTATGCGCTGAGTGGTGAGCAGCTCGACTTGAGGAAGACGAAGAATGTGTGGGTTCAGCGAGTCGGACTGTCGGATGCAGACCCAAAGTGTAGTGACGCAAGCCCCTGTTGCGTCGATGACGAGGGTAGCAGTGGTGGAGGGGGAGATGTCAAGTGCGCGACGACGCGGATAGGAGTGTGTGCGGATGATGATAATGAAGGGGGCGGTTCTGATAGCTCGGGGAAGTGCTAGTCGATGGAGATGGAGGCCATACGGCCGTATGGTAAGTGGACGGTGTATGCTGTGCAAAGGCGGACTACCCGCTGGTTCGAGATCTGAATTGTCCACTGGGTCGGCCACCTGGCCACTGCTCGATGATCAGAAGTCGATCTTCCCCGCCGTCCCTCTCCTGTCCCTCGGCCCTCTTTCTACCTCTGTGGGCAGCCCCTTTCAGACACTACTGTCCCTACCTCCTTTGAAAGCATGCCCCTAAACTTGGCTCCGGCCCCTCGATCACAAGAGACTGCGTTCCCCGAACACACATAACGTAATCAAAATGAACAACCCCTCTGCAACACCTCTGGCAGTTTCAACGACTTTGCTGCCCGGCGACTGCGCCGAGCACGACGATGCATACATACTCTCGAGGACCCGACAGTCCTCGGCACCATTGGCCACCCATTGCCGGGCTTTGGTTCACGCTCACGCACTCGCATAAGCTCTGCTGGCTCAGGTTCTCTCAGGTCCCACTCAGGCCTCTCCCGGCCTCGCCGCTACCAAACGCACTCTCATGACTCATGACGACACAAACCCCGTTCCTGGCACAACTCTTTCAAACCATGCCCTGTTCCACAATACCGCTTCATCAAACTTGCACTGACACCGGACCGGAACACCGGAGTATCCTCGGCCCTCGCATTGATGCCATCCCATGGTCCTCGTCCAGCCCGTCGTAGCCACTGATCGCCGCGTCCTATCGTGTCCGTTAGTGACCTCGCCGCTTCCCGGTTTCATCTTCGTTCAGATACACAGGTCACGCATTATATCTCAATTGTGTACATAGTTTGGGAGTCTCTGGGTATAACATGCAGGGTTACACAACAACATTGCTCGAGCGCGTGCGTCGCCGCTCGAGATGGGGCTACTCGATGGGCTCGAGCGGGGGCGGCCCTCCGAGCTCGATAGCGCCCGCCTCTCCGCCCAGTCGGCCGGGCCAGTCTAACCGCATCGCGCCGTCCGCCTCGGCGTCCACATCCTCCCACTCGCTGCCTCCGTCGTCTGCCTCGGGCTCATAATTCTCCACACGCTCGTACACGACGTACTCGGCGTCAATCATCCACTGTCGCACCCTGCCGAGGAGACGGCGTAAGGGCCACCGCAGCAGGAATGCCGCACTCGGAACAAAGAGCAGCGGGTAGGTGAGCCGGAACGCCGCCGTACCGTCCACGAAGCCAGCGAGGCCGAGACCTGCGAGCGCAGTGCGCACACCGAGGAAGACGGCCCACGGGACGGTAATCGGGACAAGCAGGATGGCGAGGATCGGCAGAACAAACTCGCTGAGCTGGACGAACGGCTGGTGCAGTGGGTGCTTGAAAGCGTCCCGGAGCCGCTCCGCAAGGGGCAGGTTGCCACCCTCGTTGGCGAAGCCAATGACGCCGACGAAAATGGAAATGAAGGCGACACCCATCGCCCAAGCGTCCCACAGGTGCAGAACAGGCGTCACGCCGCGAGCCAGTCCGTAGCGCGCAGGCACACCGATGAACAGCTCAAAGTTGACACCGACGAGCAGCGGGAAGGCAAAGTACAGGAGCGCGAGGGCGTAGGCGTTCGATAGACGAGCGAGGACCACTCGCTTGGCGCGGGTGCTCGTGCCAGACTTGCGGATGCGGCGCGCACGTGAGTATGTGATGATGCGGCGCTGCAAGTCCTTGCCGAGCGCATACGAGCCCCAACAGATGTAGCCTCCAACAATCCAGTTGTAGCCGTCGTAGATTTGCTCATGGAAGACCATGTTCGTGGCCATGCGGCCCACGCAGAGAGGGACGAGGACAACGGTGGCGACAACCGCCGCGGCGCTCAGCATGGCCGAAGCGAAGAGAGCATAGACACGGGTGCGCCAGAACTCTGGCAGTTGGACGACGGTATAGTCCCTCTTCGGGTTGCGGCCGGCGCGGCGGGCAGCACGGTCTTGCTTCAGCAGCCTGATCTCGTCCGCGGGCGTGCGGGGCGCTCCGTTGCTGTCAAGCAGAATGAACATGCCCTCCTTGCGGCGCTCCGAGAGTGACAGGAGCTTGATACGATCACTGTTAGGGACGCGGGCGGGGGTCGCGCGGTTGTCGTACGTGCCAAAGACACGCTGGCAGACGGCGTCGGCAACGATCCAACCAAGCTGCGAGAAGCGGGACATGGGGCGGTTGCCCGTGTTAACGCCGAACACGAGTGAACTAAGCTCGAGCTGGCGCACGACGAACAGCCACCAAGCCGCGAGGCCCTGTTTCACGTGGGTGTACACCTTAAGTCCTTCCCACGACGGTGGAACGATCAGGTGCAAGAACAGGAGATCGAAGGGCACACTGCTGAGCGGGCGCTGCTCTAAGCGCAGTGGAAGGACGCCCTTGAACAGCGAAGTCGTGGCTCCGAGTGCCCACATGAAGTACGGCATAGTGCCAAAGATGGTGAAGACGATGACACAGTACATCACTGCCGAGACAGCGAGGCGGGGAAGCTGGACAAGCGCCGGGCGCTCCATGATGTCGCGGACGGGCGAGTGGGCGGGGTCGCTGGGGTCGCGGATGAAGTAGAGTGCGCCTTGGCGACAGATGGTCCTCATGTGGGTGAGGAAGGCGGCGAAGGAGAACATGAAGATCGACCCGATGAGCCATGCGATGAAGAGCGATCCGAAGGTGCGGTGGCCGTAGTGGGCGATGCGGGAAGCAACCGTTGCGCCGAACAGGGGCATGGTGCAGAGGTCAATGACGATGCCGACGAAGAGCGGGAACATGACCATTTCGAGCGTCATGAAGAACAGAACCTTGAGGAAGACCTGAACATCGCGGGCGCGCTCCATAATCGCAGCATTGATGTTCAGAAGGTGGGCAGTGTCAAGGACGGCGATCGTGATCAGGAAGGTCGCGAAGACGGCGTAGCCGGTGACGAGGCACCAGAACTGGTCCATGACAGCAGGCGAAGCCGCGACAGACACGAAGCGGAGGCGCACAGCCTTGTACGCCTCGAAGCAGAAGTTGCCAAGGAACTCGAGGCCGTCGAAGACACGACCAGCCGGCGTGGCTCCGGTAGGGAAGTCAGGCACGATCGTTGTGTTCGCGTCCCACGACCTGATCAGGAAGTGGGTGGGCAGGTTGATGGTCGGGTCGGTGAGGTTGAACTGGACACCCATGGAGCCTAAGATCTGCGACGCGGGTCGCACAAGAAGGCGGGGCAGGTTGAGGATCTCACGGGCAATCGTCAGGACAAGCGACAAGAGGCCGTCGGCGACAAAGACGAGAGAGCGGAGTACCAGCAGCGACAGGTCGCGCGAGCCGCGGACCGGGTCGATAGCAAGGAACAGCTTACCGATGGCCACGGGGAGACCGACGAGGAAGGTGAGGGTGCACGACATGGCCATCGAGACGAAGATGTGGTTGTGCACAAGACCAGTCAGAGGGCCAATGAAACCGATGACCTCGAGAATGCCATCCCAGTCGTCGGCGTCGAGCGGTCGATCGTCTTCATCCTCAGGCGCCAGGTCCCCCGCGGCCATCATGTCGATCTCGGCGCGGAGGTCGGCGATCTCAGCCAGACGCTCACGCGCACCAAGAGGGTTCGCCATGGCCTCACGGGCCACGATCAGGTCACGAATGCGCTCCTCATGGATCTCGTCAACCTCGTCCTCCAGACCCTCAACATCTCCATCCACCTCGGCGTCAGCATCTCCGGTATCCGTCCACTCGTCGAGCTCGCCGTCGATAGCCTCGCCGGCTTCCGGCTGAGGCTCCTCGAGCGGGTGGAACGGGTAACCATCCGGCGACTGGTCGTCCGCGGGCGTATGGATGATCGCAGGCGTCGCAGGTGCGGGCGAGTCGACGGTAGCCTCATCGAGAAGGACCTTGCTAGACGGCTCGCCGTTCTCGACAAACGGCTCAGTCTTCTCTGAGGGCGACGTCGGCGGCGACTCGAAAATGATCTCGACAGGGAAGCCGGAGCTGCTGCCATACGGCCGCTGCGGCGGCCGAGGCGACTCGCTCGCGGGCGGTCCGGGGTCCGAGGCTCGCCTAAAGTCGGGGCTCGAATCGGGGCCACTTCCAGCAGAGTGAACCGTCTCCAGCGAATCGTGCTCCTCCAGTGGCGGGTGCTCGGAGTAGGCCTCCTCAGTTGCAGACGTTGAAGGCTCAGCGAGCCCGTTCGGCGGTGACTGCGGGTAGGCAGTGCCGTGGGGGCTCTCATAGCCTGGTCGACCGGGCGACGGTCCTCCGTACGAACGCTCGTCGGGGTTCTCCAAGGCGTCCTGCAGACGCCATCCCAGATCCTTGTTTCCGGGCGTCGTGCTGCCGGACACATCGTGGGGGACGTCAGCGGCGGGTCGCGACGGTCCAGCCTCGGCCTCCGCCTCGGGCTCTGCCGTGCCGTTAGAGCGCTCCGGCTCCTTGCCCTTGTCGTTATCCCTAACATAGCCCCAGAACGGCTCCTCACCCAGCTGCTCGGGAGCGGCGAACGCGACATGCGACGGCGATGGCCGCGGAGGAGGGTGGGCGTCATCGCCAAACTGCTGCTGGCCGATTTCGATGCGTGGCGGAGGCAACGTGTCTCGCCCCCGGGGCTGCTCCTCTGCCGGCTCCTCCTTGGCTGCAGTTCCAGCATGGCGGTGCCGCCGTCTAGGGCGCGTGAAGTCGTAGTCGGTCTTGCGAATCGCACGTCCATTCCGGAACACCCAGTCCTCAGGGCGCAGCTCGCCCTCTTCCTCAACTGCGGGGCGGGGCTGCCAGTCGAGCTGCCCGATCCACTCGCGGATAAGGATAAGACCAATGAGGCCGGCAGCGACCGAGATGGCGACGATCTGTCCGCGGAACACGAACGGGACAATGTTGGAGAAGTCGGCATTGTACCGCGAGACGAGAGAGGGGACGATGTCGGCGTACGTGCCGTTGCCGGCGACGAGAGCCAGAACAGTCTGACGGCCCGTCAAATTCGCAGTCGTCGAGTTGTACTGGAGCGTCGTGTTGAGGTCGTGGTGGCTGTCTGCAATCACCGTTCGCAGTCCGTACGAAATAGCGGGGGAGGTGCTGGTAGTTAGTTCGAGGCCGCTTGCGACAACTCACGCAATGTTAAAGGCCACCATGATCGTACGCAATGTCACCATAGTCACGATCGGGAGCACGACGAGCCACGAGATAATGGCGATGCACGCGCGGAGGACGCGCCAGCAGAAGCGGCCGCCGATGAAGATGGACTGGCGGACATAGACGATGAAGGGGATCGCAGACGGTAAGGAGGCAGGATAAACTGAATGTCAGCTGCAAGGAGTTCCGACAGCTTGAGACATCAAACGCTTCACGTGTACGCTGCGATAGAAACTGCGTTTCATGTCGGCTCCGCGCATCGCATATCGCCGTCGCAGCGCAGCGCGCATCGCGAAGCGTTCGCGTGCGAAAGCTCGACTCACCTTTCGTGAACGTGTAAGCATGTCCGCAGATTTCACAGTGCCGCTGGCGCGAGTGGGACAGCCATTCCTGTAGGCTAGGCGTTAGCTTGGTGTGTGTGGGGCGTTTAGGCTAGTGGACGCGGACGCGGATGTGGGGAGGGCGGGGGGCGGGGCGAGCACCGGGCGCTAAGCGCTGCGCACGCGATCGGGTGGAGGGACGCAGCAGAAAGTGTGCAGCACTGCGCAGCATGCGATTCCCGCGTTATCGTTGCAATGCACTTGGTGCGGGGGTGTCGCGGCTCGGTCAGGCGACCCAGCGCCAGTGGTGTCCCATGTTGAGTCCATCACGCCCGCGTTGCCGGAGGCGGCTAAAGTTGAAGTTGGAGGCATGTGACACTCACCAGTCCGAGTGGACGTATCGCATCGACCCCGAGCATTTGCACGGGTGGATGAGGGGGTTTCCGTCGTCGGCATCGGAGCGGCAGACGCGGCAGAGGTCTGTGTTGTCAGCTATGTCTTACTTGCGAGCCAGGTAGTGATGAGAGTGTTCTGCTGGCCACGGGAAAGCCAAGTGGCAACAGATACTGACCCTCCTCTTCCTCGATGCTCATCGCCGCTGCATTCCCTGTAGGGCCGATCTTGTCGTGGGGAGTCGAGGCGGAGCTGATGATGGGTGAAGGAGTGTCGCTGAGGGTGAAGAAAGTCGAAAGGAAGGGGTGGTGGTGGGTCGCAGAGTCGTGTCGAGGGAGAGGTATGGATGCAAAGACGTTCTGCAATGTCACCTGGTGTACGTGCTGCAGTGCATCCCACCGGCTCGAGCATCCTTGGTGGACTTAGGGCGGGAGCAAATTGGGACGACGACGCGGCGCTGCTGTGCACTGCGCAACTCTGCGCTATCGCCTGACCACCTTTGGATTAACGTCCTACGCCGCTTAGTAATTGCCCGCATGCCCTGATTACAACGCCCAATAAGAATTCTGACACCGGTCTAATCCGATCCCCTCTTGCCCGTCAGTCCGTCAACTGTTGAGCGTGCAAGGCGTTCTGCTCATCACTCGCTGCGCGGTCCGGGCCGTAGACACTCATGCGCGCCAAGCCGGCCCCGGCGCCACGGCACGGTCCAAAGTAGCTTCTTGCATCAGGTACAAGGCTTCCCCTCACCGTCTACGTCTACGTGTCTATGGCTGCCGCATTCTGCACGATTAGAAGATAGTGTATCCTCCATCGACCACGACGTCGCTGCCAGTCATGAATCCCATCCCTCCCATCCGCCCAGACACGAGACAAGCGACAAACTCTCCAATCTGGTCCGGCGTCGCAAACGTGCCCGTCGGCGTGCGTCTCTCCCACTCGCGCACCCAGTCCCGACAGTCCTCGGGCGGGTTCGCAATCATATCCGTCTCGACATATCCAGGGCTGACGCTGTTGACCGTGATACCGAGGTGGGCCCATTCGCCGGCGAGACTCTTGGCGAGCATAGTGACAGCGCCCTTGGAGGCATTGTACGCCGCCTGCTTCTGTGGCGCCATCGCGACCAGCGCCGAGATGGAGCTCACGAAGAGGATCTGCTTCCCGAGTTTTCGCGGGGCGGAGATGTCACTGGAGCCAGAGCTGGGATCCAGGCCGACAGGGAGGCCGAGCCAGGCCCGCACCAAAGCGCGCGCGAGGTAGTATGGCCCAAACGTGTTCACGTCAAAGATGTGCTTGAACTCGTCGTCTGTGTTCTCGTGCGCGCCCTTCCAGAGCGCGACACCCGCGTTGGCGATCCCGATGTCGATACTCCTCCCGTAGGAGCGCTCGACGGCGTCGACGGCCGCGTCGACCTCGGCGCTCCGCGTCACTTCGCACTTGAACGCTTTGATCTGCACACCGCACTGCGATGAGAGCGCTGCTGCCTTCTCCGAGGGATCGGTCGAGGTGTACGTGATGGCGACGTCGGCGCCGGCCCGCGCCAGGGCAGAGGTGATCGCCCACCCGATCCCGCGCCCGCCGCCGGTGACGAGCACGAGCTTGCCGCTGAAGTCGAGTGTGAGGGGCATGCTCTGTTGTTGTTTGGGGGAACGGCAGGCGCGTTTCGAGCACAAGTGACGTTTTGTAGCCTTCCCCCACCGGCTCAGCGCGGTTATCACTCGGCTGTCGCCGGGTATCCCGCTCTCACACTGCCGCCAACTCCGCTGCGGAACGGGCGGGAGGCAGCGGTATATCGGCCTCATGCCATTGCAACCACGAACGATCGATACATATGCATTTGGATGTCTGCTTAGGTTCATGTCTACTGGTTGAAATCCGGCTGAGCCCCCTCCTTCGTCACGATCCACCCCTTCTGCATCTCGGGGTCGTAGTCGTGCCACGTCTGCGCCTCCTCGCGCGAGAAACCGTCATCCATCGCGTGCTCCCCCCACACCAGCCCAAACTCGGCACAGTACGCCTCCCAATGTCCCAGTAGCTCCGCGAGCTTCTCGGGATGCTCGCGGCTGAGGTCCCGCGTCTCGCCCGGGTCGGACGCGACGTCGAACAGCTCCCAGCCTTGCGGGTCGTCCTGCCCCGCCGGCCCCGGTTGGCGCCACGGGTGCGCCTTGCCCCCGTGCGAGGCGCGGAGATGCACAATCTTCCAGTCGCCCAGCCGCAGAGCCGCCATCGCCTGCAGCTCCCACCCCACCGGCTCAGTGGAGGGGTACACTGCCCACTCTTCCGTGTCGCCTGCTGACTCGCCGCGCCCGAACCAGCGTACCCACGACTTGCCCGTCATTGCGTACACTGCCCGGCCGCGGTGGTACACTCGGCCCTTCCCTGGTACTCGAGCGACTGCCTCGGCCTCTATTCCTGTATACCGCCCAGGCTTCTCGAACTCGACCTCCGCCACGCCTTCGGACCGCACGGGCGCATCGGCCGGCGCAGGCGGTAACGTAATCCCAGCGAGCTCGAGGGCTGTCGGCGCCAGATCCATGCACGTCGTGAAAGCGCGAGAAAAGCTGCCAGGCTTCATGTTTGGCATTGTGTCGCGGGCCGGCTTGACGATAGCGGGGACGAGGATACCGCCTTCGGACGGAAAGCACTTGTAAAGTCTTGACGGAGCAGTCGACGCCTGAGCCCACAGCGGTCCGAGCCTGTGCGTCAGTTCATCCTTGCCAAGAGGTAACTCACCATGTGTAGCTGTTCCACTCGCCTACATTACCAATCGAGTTGTCGTAGTATTTGGCAACCGCTTCGCGGATGTTGTCTCCCAGCACTGGAATCGCCTCGATTGCCGCGCCCTCTGCGCCATTGTCCGACATGAACACGACGAGCGTGTCCTCCCACTCGCCCTCGGCCTTCAGGCGCTCGAAGACCCGCCCAATCGCGCTATCCATGCACTCCACCATGGCCGCGTACGTCTCCATTGCGCGTGAAGAGCACGCACGCTCGTCCTCGCTCATCTCAGACCAGGGCGAGACTTCGGGAGCGACAACATCGTGCGCCTTCACATCTGGCGGGATGATGCCGAGCTCCTTCAGCTTCGCCAGCCTCTCTGTTCGCAGCACCTCCGGTCCACCGTCGTACTTTCCCTTGTATCTGGAGGTCAGCTTGACGAGGCATATACAGCTGCACTCACTTATCGCGTACGGCTTTCGGCGCCTGGAGCGGCCAGTGCGGCGCCGTGAAGGAGAGAAAACCAAACCACGGCTTGTTCTTTGGCCGCTCGTCGAGGTACTCGATGAACTTATCCGCGTAGTAGTCGCTCGAGTAAAAGCCCTTCGGATCATTGGTCGTATTTGGCGGGATGCGGACGTGCCGCCCGTCCTCGGCGTGGATCGGCCGACCGCCGACCTTGTTTCCCGCCTCACCCGCGTCGAGCACCGGCTCCCAGCCGTAGTGGTTACAGCAGCCCGGCAGCATCGCAAACGAATGGTCGAAGCCGCGCGCACTCGGTCCATGCTCTGGTCGTAATCCCAGATGCCACTGAATGGGGAAAGAAAGCGTCGGGAAGCAGGTGTGGAGCGGAAGGGGAAGCACCGGGTCAGCTCGGGATCACCGAAGGGGAGCTCCGAACTCACCTTTCCACTCATGAAGGTGTAGTATCCATTGTCCTGCATCACTTCTGGAAGCGCCGCAACCTCATAGTTGAGAAAGCCCTCGTGACCAGCTTTGCCGTTCCAGCGCTTCTGACCCTGCTCGTCACACTTGTACTCCAACAGGCAGCCGAGACCACCGAGGTGCGCGTCGGTGCCAGACATGATCATCGCCCTCGTCGGTGAACACGCCGCCGCCGTATGATAGTTCAGCAGCCGCACGCCCTGATCGGCGAGCTCGTCGAGTGCCGGGGTCGTGATCTCCGCCCCGAATGGCGCGATGTCACTGAACCCCTGTCGTCAGCGCCAAACTCTCGCGGGGTCAACCTAGATGGCGAATTCCAACGTTTGAACGCCGCCGGTGGAGACGTTCCCGACTGGTCCGAGGCACTCACCAGGTCATCGGCGACGATGAGGAGGATGTTTGGGCGCCGGTCGCGCGTCATGGGTGCGGATGGGGAAGACGCTGAGGTCGACATCTGCTTATGTACGAGATCTGGTGACCTGGCGAGTGTGTATTCAGCCGTGTCGACGGTGTCGCCGTGCCGAGCGAGGCGAAGTGAGGTCGAGCCCTATCTCGGGCGCGAGCCGAGCGAGTCGGTTTGAGTGATTTCGATGGTGGCGTCGAACTTCCTCGCTGAATTGAGGAATGCGTGGGCTGCGCGCTGTTGGTGTAGTATTGCAACAAGCAAGATAGAACGAACGCTTTTAGGCTCGAAGTGTTGTCCCGACTCGTAAGATGCCTTTGGAGTACGCGTGGTGCGGCAATGTCGCCGATGTCTGTACACCGGTCGCAGGGAGTTACTATTTCGGTCCTGGGACGTTTGCCGATCAACAGCCCTTTCCAGGCCTCGGATCGGCATGGGCTCGAAATGGCCCGGACGAGCGAATAAGGTCATGAGGTCATCCGCACCGCAAGCGAGCCTGAACTCCACCAACCCTGCCTCCCAACCATCTTGCACTTGCCTGCAGGTGCGGAAGGCGGAACTGCACTGGTGAGTGTCGGTATTAATAGTGCGTGCGCCTGATAACTCGCTCGAGTGACTGGCTGGCATCAGGTTGCTCCGGATATCCCATCCGTACTATTACGCGGCGGCCCTGGAGCGGAAGTGCTCTGCGGAGCTAGTTAGCATCGTATCGAGAGAGTTGCGCTGCGGCCATAGCTGCAAGTGTCAATGACAGATGAGTGAGAAGGGCCAGATTCGGATATGTCTCCTTCCTTTGGGTTTGAAGGCCCACGCGCGACCACCCCAGTGGGTGATATCTTCCCTCCACAGGCCCAAACTCGATGTCTCAAGCGGCGACTTGATCTCACCCCAGTCAATGGCTTACCGGGGGAAGGTTCGGTACCGCGAGGCTTTCTAGCGACTACCAAATTCCGCAATTGGCCATGTCTGTTCGAACGCCCACCTCTGATGTGTGGGAATCAATGAAGTACCGCTGAGAAGCCAAGCCAGAGGGAATGAGTGGCGTAGTGCGTCGTGGTGATGAATGCTGTAACGACAAGAAGGAGGATACCTAGAGCTGCATGTTCGTAGGAGGGAGGAAGACCAGATCTGACCAAGATGGAAGGTCTCAGGTGCGCACTGACCGTATTAGCTGCGAGGTGAGGAGGCACTAGGGTTGCGACGTTGCGACAGCTGTTGCCCAATAATTGCCGGCTCGCCAGTGCGCCGGTGCGATGGGTGGCATTGTGAAACAGACGACTGCGGTCGGTTGAGTCATCTGATAACGCTCCGAGCGAAGGAAGGTCAGCATCCGGCTTCCACTGTACGTAAACGTCAACGAATTACCTAGATGCTGGAACCACCCTGGGTGTGGAGACCCCCTGCCGATAGCGAGCCGAGCGACTGTCGTTCACAGATGGTGACGATCCGGAGCCTTGGTTCGGCGGCCCCTTCTATCCAATGTGCACCGCATGCAACCACATCGTTCTTAGTGCTGCACGCTCCAACATGCACAACACACCCCTCCATCTCATTTCTCATCCATACTTGACTTGCTAAACTTCTTGCTTCCATTGTCTCTTCCCCTTTGCCATCACACCCATCCTCACTCTGGACAGGCCCATTCACAGCATGACCCCTGTAAACCGGCGTCGACTTCATATGTCAATCAAAGTGTCCGTCTTCCCCCCCTTGAGTCACAGACCCAGGATCGAAGGTGAACATCTCCACTTAAGCTCCTTTGGCGAGGACTCTTACTCCTGACGAGGTCCGACGTGTACGACAGCCAAAGGGCATCATCGCCTTTGAGCGTTCCTCGTTCTCTGCCTCGACCGCTACCCCACCGCACCCCTTCGACCTCCTCCTCACCAACCTCCGTGCGGCCACCGACTGCGTTGTGGGAACGCTCTGAGGAAGGTTTAGCATCGATTAGCGTCTTGACTGCGGTAGGAACGACGTCCCTCCTTTGCTTTATCTCAAGACAAAACGACTCAGCGAACAACAGGCTTTCAAGCACAATGAATTGCAGCGATCGCAAAGTGCTCGTCCCTCGCACAGTTGCGCCAGGTTGCCTAGCGTCTCTGGCAATGACATCAGCAACACTGTTGCGTACGCCCCCTCCTTATTCATCGCACTTCGACGTCTGATGGCGACCCCATCTTCTCCGCTGAATTGCAAGCTTTCCCGTCCCTCAGCAACTACGATTGCACCTGACCGACGCCTTTGCGGGAACAGGTGACTCGGTCCGAGGATACAAGGAACACTGAAAGGGCGGCAGGATCAGATGACTGCGGTAGTCCCTCGGTCCCAGATCGCCGTCTCGGTAGCCCGAACTAGCTGGTCGAGTCCGAGGGCCGAGGGTTTGGACCATCGGAGTTGAGTTCGTCAAACCCGGTTCAAGGCAGGTACGACACGACTCCAGCGGACGAGCAGAGGTTCCCAAGCTATGGCATGGCGGGCCAGCGAATGACATGACTCGCACGATAAGATGGGTAAGTTGGATTGCGTAACGCGGAATAAAGTTGTTGGGTAGAACGTTCGCTTGTTGGCTGGAAGATCTGTCGAGGTTTGCTGGTTCGGACCCCCTAAATTTCCGCGCCGCATCACATCTGGATCGCTCTTGGACGAAGCCTGTCAGAGCCAGAGCGTCGCAGATCGCCAGAAGGCTCAGAAGCAGCGAATCGTGCTCGAGGACTTGTTGGGTCTCGACAGCGACGATCTGGAGCACCAGACAGCAGCCTCGTCGCCCCGCCTTGCTTGTCCATGACGCGCACTTCGAGCTAAGGTTTTGGGTTTCATAATGGAGATATGCTGCCTCGCCGCTCGCGCGCCTGGTCCCCACTCCACATCCAAGTATTCAGCATTCCACCCCTCCCCCCCTTCCTTCCCTGGCTACCCTCCGTACCTCACTCTTGGCCCAGCCTAGTCGCCCTAGCCGCCGCCTCCTCTGAATTACTCGTCCAACTCAATTTCTCCTTGAACGCACATCCACCAAAGCTTGCCATCGACGACCTCCTCCATGTCCTTTCGACATTAACTCCCTACATATACCATGACTTCGGCCACAGCGGCGCGCCCTTCGAGACTGCACTGACTGCTTTCAAGCTTGTTCAGGCCGAAGGGGCGCACCGCTTGCAACATCAGCTCGGTTTGCTTGGCCAAGGCTGACCGAAAGATCAACGACCACAACTACCTAGGCTCTACCTGTTCGCCGTTCTCGCCGCTCATCAAACATCATCTCCAGCACGCTATCGCTTCTTCAAGTTGCGCGAATCTCGCGCGGCAAGCTCGCGTTCAGTCTTGAGCACACAAGCACTTAAGTTTCGCATTGGCTGGCGACGATATTCGTTCCTCATCTCGAAGTAGTCCACCGGACACGTAACAGCAACATGGGTCGCGTTCGAACTGCTTGGAAGGCATGGACGCCTATGCTGGTGTTCAGCTGCTTCTGCCTTGTTGTCGGTGACATGCTCTTCGGCTTCGTAAGTCGAAGCTCGCTACGACTGCAATATGCCTCGCGCTAACGTACAGGACACTGGTTCCTTCGGAGGTATCCTTGCTATGCCCGTGAGTATGACGTTCGGACCGGAACTCTGCCCATGCAAGACGCCAGTCAACTTGACGGTGAATGAAGGGTTTGAGCCATTTTGTCCGTCTGCACAGGAAAATGACTAACCCACAGGGCTTCCTGAACCAGTTTGGCACTGAGACGAACGGGAAGTGGGCACTGACGCCTCTACGGACGTCCCTGTTGTCCTCCCTCGCGTTCATCGGTAAAGCCATTGGTTGCTTGGGTGCAGGGCCGCTCATCGAGTGGCTTGGTCATCGCAAGGTCTTTGTTATCCTGTGCATCATCTCCTGCATCGGTGTCATCAGTGAGTATGCATAAGCCGGGAACTCGTATGCAGCTGCGACCTGCAGCCGAAGCCGGTCGGGAATGCGGACACGTCGGCGGCGATCAGCGACGAAGGCGTCGATTCCTGGCCAGCCCCCACACGTGCCTTCAATTGGCAAAAGCCTAGTCTGGACGATCAATGAGCTGACCTTTAGTCGAGATCACGTCTGCAGACACGGCACTCGGGTCCGGCCGCCTCGCCCAGTTCATCGTCGGGCGCATCATCGTCTACATCTCTGTCGGACTGGTCGAAATCTGCATCTCGTAAATCAACTTGGATGTGGGCGTGGCTGACGTGCAGAACCTACCAAGCGGAGATTGTGCCGGCGCCCCTGCGTGGCTTTACAGTGTGTTCATTGCAGCTGTTCCTGAACGCCGGCGGCCTGTTAGCGACAGGCGTCAATAAGGCCTTCTCCAAGGATGACACAAGCCGCGGCTGGAAGACGGTCACGGGGATTCAGTTCGTGTTCCCCGTGCTGATCATGGCTTTTGTGCCTTTCCTCCCCGACAGTCCCCGCTGGCTTCTGTCAAAGGATCGGCCAGCTGATGCCCTGCATTCGATGCGCCGCCTGCGAACTCGAGAAGAGGTCGCATCTGGTGCATGCGCGGAGGAACTAGCCGTGATCCAGGTCCAGCTGCAACAGCGAGTGCACAAGGCGTCGTGGCTCGACTGCTTCCGAGGCACGAACGCCCGCCGCACCGGGCTTGTCATCGCATACTACATCTACCAGCAGATCACGGGCCAGGCCTGGGTCTCGACGTACCAGACCGTTTTCTACAAGGAGAACGGGTACGCGGACCATGCCTTCACCTACCCCATCATCTCGAGCTGTCTCAGCGTGCTCGCCGTGTTGCCGTGCATGTACTTCTCAGACGTGCTCGGGCGTCGCAAAGTGCTCCTGGGCAGCTTCTTCTTCCAGGCCTTGTGGCTTTGCCTCTTGGCCGGTATCGGCGAACGGTCCAACAAGACGGAATCAATGAAGGAGGCATGCGTTGCGTTCTTCATGCTGTTCGCTGTATCCTATTCTGTGAGTCATGCTATTCTGAAGCCAGTTTCTGAGCTGACGTTCAGCTCGGCGGTGCCCCGGTACCATATCTTCTCGGCGCCGAACTGCCGAACCACTCTCTCCGCGAGAAGACGTCGACGATCGGCACCACCATCAATGTCGTGTTCGCGTTCGCGACCAACTTCTCCATCCCCTACATGATGAAGGCCCTCCACTTCCGAGTTGGCTGGATCTTTGGCGGCATCTCGATATCCGCCCTGGTATTCACCTTCCTCTTCCTCCCCGAAACAAAGAACTTGACTCTCGAGCAGGTCGACCACCTGTTCGAGAAGCCTTACAACCCCTTCCGCAGCTTCGCGAAGCTCGATAGGTGGACGAAGCACCCGGCCCTGCTGGAGCAGGGCCTGCAGGAGCCGGACCCTGCATACATTGACAGCTGGCCAAGCAGCACCGACAGCGACAAAGACAAGGACATTATGCGGTACGAGTCGGATCTCAGATAAAGACAAAAGAAGACCGATCTCTCAGAAACTGTAATCATCAGTGTGTAACGAACTGTAACGAGTGGACAATCAGTTAACATAGCATGCAACCTGTATCATATGTTTGTAACGTTCAACGTTTTGGATACTTCGAGGGAAAAACTTATAAGAATTGACTAACGATCACAAAGACTTTGAAGAAGAAAAGAGAAAGGAAGAAAAGGGGGTACGAAGATATTAACGATACGGCTGACTGACTTGACGCTACAGCTACAGGCTCCTATCTTACATACAGAAAAGTGTCTTCTGATCAGGGATGTGGGCGTTTAGTTGCCCTGGAACTGGCCAACGTTCTCGGCATATCCCTCCGAGGGGCTCTCAATGTTGCCGGCAGGGTCGTGGTTGCAGACGATGTAAAGACCGCCCTCGGGGCATCCAGTGCTCCAGCCGCATCCGATCTTGGTCGTGCTTTTCCACACAATCTGGGTGAAGTGCTTGGAGCTATAGTCGTTGGCGCCGGTGTACTTGCCCGCCTCACCAGGACCCCAGTACGTGAAGATATCCTTGGGGTCGTACTGGCCCGAAGAGTTGATGCCCCAGTACCAGTTGTCGCCGCCCTGGTGGCCCTTGTTGCACTGCCTGGCCCAGTCGTTGGCGCGCGAAGCAAGCCCCGAGTCCCAGTGGATCTCGCCCGCGCCAAACTGGCGCCGGAAGTCATTGTACGCGCGCACAAAGTAGCGCGACACCTCGGACGTGCCGTCAATGTCGCTCTGGTTGCAGTCGCCCGTGATCTTGATGCCGCCCGAGTCGGGGATCGTCGCCGGGTGGTTCGTGGTCTGCACCTGGCCGCCACCGACCTGGCCGCCCTGCGACTGGGACTGGGAGCCAGACTGGCTCTGCGACTGTCCACCGTTACCGCCCTGGTTCTGGCTCTGCGAGCCAGATTGGGACTGGCTCTGTCCACCGGAGCCGTTCTGGTTCTGGCTCTGGGCACCAGACTGGCTCTGCGACTGGCCGCCAGAGCCGTTCTGGGTCTGCGACTGGGAGCCGGACTGAGACTGAGACTGGCCGCCCTGCGAACCGGTGGTCGTGCCGGTGGTCTGGCCGCCCTGGTTCTGGCTCTGGGAGCCGGACTGCGTCTGGGACTGGCCGCCCGACTGGCCACCGGGTCCGCCGTTACCGCCGCCGCCGTTGTTGTTGCCGCCGCCGTTGTTGTTGTTGTTGTCGCCCTTGCCATCGCCGTGGTCCTTGCCGTCGCCGTGGTCCTTGCCGTCGTGGTCCTTGTCGCCGTGGTCCTTGCCGTCACCGTGGTCCTTGCCGTCACCGCCGTTGTGGCCGTCACCGCCGCCGGTGCCGGAACCACCACCACCGCCGCCACCACCACCACCGCCTCCTCCGCCGGTAGTCGTCGAGCCGCCGCCGCCGGTCGTGGTCGAGGAACCACCACCGCCGCCGCCTCCACCACCACCACCGCCGCCTCCGCCGTTGTCGCCGCCGTTCTGGCCGCCGGAGCCGGAG